GATACAGTCATCTCTCAGTACAGAGATACAGTCATCTCTCAGTACTTGGGAGATGGGAGGCAGGAAACTCAGAAGTTTAAGGTCTTTCTCAGCTACATACTGAGTTCAAGGCCAGCCTGTGGTACATGACACCCTTTTTCAAAAAACAAAATTACAGCAAATAAACAATATGTAAAACGCTAGAAACTAGAGTAAATCATTTTGATACAATTAACATTTTGTTTTAAAAAATTACTTGACCTACATATTTACAGTTAAGGTTTCTGAAAAACAGCAAAGACAATGAAAATTTTTAATATTCACAAAGATAAAAATACTAACAGATTTGCACACAAGTATTTGAATTAGCCTTTAAAGGAAGAAAGGAAGGCTGACTAGACTGTATAAGTGAAGAACTTTCATAAGGACAAGTGCTATATTTTACTCTACAACCTTACCTGCTTTGGAAACTGTATCTTGATCAACTGGAGTCTCTTGAAAATCTCCTTGTGTTTCCAGAAGTGAAGATTTAATGTAAGTGGCTAAAGACTCCACAGGACCCTCCCCAGCCGCCATTAAGGGGTTGTACTGGTTGTCAACAGGTGAGCTTCCGCTGCTCTTCAGCTCATCAAACCTTTTTGCACACTGCAAAGATAAAAATGGTAAAAATGGAGGTTACATTACAAAACTCCCTGTGAATGAAAATGCCAGAATGGTGGTACTTCCTGTGCTAACCAAAAAAGTTTAAAAAAGCACATAATGGTTTTATATACGCTTGCTACCGTAACACATGATATCATCATTGAGTAATATTATAAGAGTAATCATTAAGTAATCAAGAATGATAATCTTCAGCAAATAAAATTTAATGAAATATTTTTGAATGATCTAACTTATAGGGGAGAAGATATATTTATTCATAGTTCTGAATAATCAACTTCAATCATTAAGGTTATGTAACTATATGTACGGCACAATAAAAAGATTAATAGGAAAAAGTTATTTTCTTGCCTTCTATTTAAAGAGACTTTATCTTAAAATTATCTTAGAAGACAGGATTTCTATGTGTAGCTCTGGCTGTCCTGGAATGTCCTCTTCTGTTCTCCTTGGGCACTATGTGAATGTGGTGCATAGGCATACATGCAGACAAAACACTCATAAATACAATAAAATAAATGTAAAACGAAATAAAAAACTAAATTTTTCACTTAGCTGTTTCTTTAAATCTCACATCTTGGGGGCTCTGTTTTTGGTGTCGCCGTTGGTTTTGCTCTTCAGGCGGCATCTTGGGGGTTGTTACTCACCTCTTTGGATGTTAGTCCAGGTACAAGTCTTGCCACAGCTTCCCAGTTGATGGTCTGAGGGACTCCAATTAATGGATAAAGGATCATATCTAATACCATTTGGTTATTATTATTCAGGAAATTATTGTTTTCTGGATACCCACGACTCATATTTTGGAGCTAGAAACAGGAAAAACACAGTCTTATTAACATCTGAAATTCAGATGTTTCCAGAACATTGTACACTAGTTATATAGTCATTCCTAAAAATCACCTGTCATTATATAAAGAAAAAGTAAAACTGACTTAAAAAACAAACACAGAATATCTATCCAAAATCTCTTCAGACACAAAAGCTTTATGATATCATGACTTAAAAGATGGGTACATATACGGATGGATAGACGGATGAAAGATGCAATAAAAAGAATCTTAATGACAGATTCCCGGTGGCAGGCATTTGAGTGTTTACTATAAAATTTTTTCTGACTCTGCTATATGTCAATTTTTTATAATCAAATGTCCAGGGAAAGTTGAGAATAATTTCTTTTTCTAAAAACTCACTAAGCATGCCTGATTTATACAATGACTATTGAGAATTCATTTAATCAAACTGTGAAGAAATTGAAACATATACCTTGCTTAAAAAAAAAAAAGATTTATTCTGTTCCTAAATAAACCTCCCTCCTGTTTTTCGCTGAGTGAATGTTCACGGTACAAATACTGATGGCTGAACAACCTGAACTTGTATAGACATAGATAAGCCTTAGCCTGGTAACCGAGCAGAGTAGCTAATGTGCTTGTACTTATTATAACTGTAGTAATAACTATTAAGTGCTGTTATTTTTATATGTTCGAAACAACTTCTCCTTGGAAAGTTCTTTGCAGTCCTTGTTTTCTGAAGCAATGTGATCTGGCAAGGGATACTGGCAGAAAAACGACTAACGTAAGCATCATAGTGACGCTATCTGGGCAAGAGCCGAAATGGAGCCACACCATGGGGAGGCAGAGGAGCTCTCACTAACTTTAAAATGTAAGGAAACAGGTTCGGAGCAGCTAAATAATTTCCACAATGCCATCAATCTATTAAGATAATTCTTTCCATCCTATATAAGAGCATGGAATGAAGAGGTAGTGACAGAGGTGATGGTTTAGGATGGGAAAGGACAGACTCTAATAGCTTGTAAAGCTGGTTGTGCTTCAGTGAAACAACTGCCAAAGCTTTGGTTCCTGAAGTAGACTGGGGATATTACAAAAAGAAAGAAAAGGAGGCTGGAGAGATGGCTCAGCGGTTAAGAGCACTGACTGCTCTTCCAGAGGTCCTGAGTTCAATTACCAGCAACCACATTGTGGCTCATAACCATCTGTAATGAGATCTGGTGTGCGGGAGAATTATCTGTATTCTGTCAATCATGTATTTTAATAAAATGCTGATTGGCCAGGCAGGAAGTATAGATGGGTCAACCAGACAGGAAGTAGAGGTGGGGCGATGAGAACAGGAATATTCTGGGAAGCAGGAAGCTCCCTCTGCCATTCCTGCCCAGACCACTGAAGAAGTAACATGTGAGCTGACAGCTGAAAAAGGTACCAAGCCATATGGCTAACATAGATAAGGATAATAGGGTAACATAAGTTATAAGAGCTAATAAGTAGCCTGACCTAATGGGCCAATCAGTTTATAACCTAATGTAGACTCCGTGTGATTTTCTTTGGAACTTGCTGGTTGTGGGGTACCTACCGGGCAGGACAGAAACCCCAACAAGCCGGCCCTCATGTTACAGATGGCTTACTAGCAAGCCCTTCTAGCAGGCCCCCCTCATACAGGATACTGTATGAATAAATAAATAAATAAATAAATCTTTAAAAAAAAACAAAAAGAAAGAAAAGAAACAGAAACAGAACTACCCATCCAAAGTTAAAATGTTTTAAAAAGCTCTTTATGTCAGCCAGTGTAAGACACACTGTTTTATCCAAGCATTTACCAATTCCATCATGTTTCAGGCATTGCAGCTGAAGTTGGAATACAAAATTAGAGAAAAACAGAGGTGAGAGCTTATGGCTAGTCATGCTTACAGTTTAACTGTTGCTAGTTTCTAGGTTGAGAATTCCACCTGAAATATAAGCTGCTCTAAGAAAAATATGGCATAATGTAGAGCGAAGATCACTGACAGATAGACGCCACCTAAACTTGCCGCACTGCAGCAGAGAAATTAGATTAAAAGCCATGACTGACAGTGCAAGAGAACAAAAGGGCTCACTCTGGGAAGGTACTCTGAAGACAACCACTGCACCTCCAGGTGAGATGTGGCCTACAGAGACAGCATATGCTTCCTAGGACCGTGACATCTCGAGACGTGGTGTACAGAGACAGTATATGCTTCCTAGGACCATGACATCTCGAGAAGTGGCATACAGAGACAGTACATGCTTCCTAGGAACATGATATCTTGAGACGTGGCCCACAGAGATGGCATATGCTTCCTAGGACCGTGACATCTCGAGAAGTGGCCTACAGAGACAGCATATGCTTCCTAGGACCGTGACATCTCAAGACATGGCCTACAGAGACAGCATATGCTTCCTAGGACTGCGGTATTTTGAGTGCTCTAAAGTAGAAGTGTGGAAGCAAGTCAGGAGCAAGAACGAGGTATGGGTTACATAAATCACTGCCTTAGGACATGAAACGGCAGCCAGGTAACAATCTATGTGTTTGCATAAGCATTAAAAAGCAACAGGGGCCTGAGAGACAGCCAGCAGTACTTGCTGTTACTGAGCAAGACCTGGGTTTGGTTCCCAGCACCCAACTGGTTTCTTACACCTGTTCATTGCTCCAGTTACAGGGGCTATAGCGCCCTCTTCTGGCATTTATGGGCACTAAGCATGTACATGATGCACACAGATACATGCAAGCAAACACACATAAATAAAAATGAACACATGTAAAACACAAAAGAGACACAAAGCACAAACACTCTAAAATCATGGCTTCTAGGGATGTACCTTATTGAAGGATCTGTACAACGTAGTAGACACAAGTATAGATTCTGAAGTGACGCCGTCAACGTCCAACTGCGTACCCTGGTTCCACCATTAAGATAGTATCTAGTTCAAATAATCTGGATTTCAATTTCTTCATCTGCAATACAAAGGTAAAACAGTAGGTAGCTTCTGGATTTCCAGGAGGCTTTAAGTGGGACCTCTTACAGGTCCAGTGTGAGGACTGGATGCTTGTAGCAGTAGTGTTAGCATTTCTGAGATCCCTGGATCAAACAGATTCATAAAGATTAACAATGAAGTATGCTGCCGATAAAGGAATAAAGTGGGCTCTTGATACTTACCCAGCTTTACCATTTCCAGCAGTGCATCTTGGGGCTTCAATTGTTTCAGCTATAAGGAAAACAACAACAGCCTTTAAGATTATTTTGAGAATTCAATCATACCATTAAAGCACCCAGCACAGCATCTGGATTCAAAATGGGTACCACAATTTATCACAACCATTATTTGTTCTTATTCTACTTTGGCCATTGGTGAAATAATATTTTTTTCAAGAATTAGTTGAGTCACTTAGAAAGAACTGCCCAGGACAGAATTTCAGTTTTATCTTGCTTTGTAGCTCAGGCTAGCTTCTACCTCTTGATCCTCCTGCCTCAGCCTCCAGAGCACAGGGATTACAGGTCTGTACTGACACACTCAGCTCATAGGTTGGGCCTTTTATCTTTTGATTCCTCATAAGGACCAGCAGAGCAGATAGTGCCGAAAATGTTTGCTGAGTTAATAAAGTCACCAAACTTTAAAGAAACAATGTATCTTTTGGAACCCACGTTGAGTTGAAAAGCCATACTCTATGAGAATATGTAAGTATCTATAATAAATGTGGCAATCTTAACTTTCAGTGAACACTGCTCTCTACTTACATGGGTAATACATGGATCCCTTTTCTGAGCACACTCCTCTCTACTTGTATGGGTAATACATGGATCCCTTTTCTGAGCACATGATTTGGAAAGGGGTGTTTATAATTTGTTGGGACTTTAGTAGACATTTAGGATCCAGGAATGTAGATGAGTTTTTGCCTAATATGTGGGGCCCTCAGTTTGATGCCCAGCACTTAAAAAAAAAAAAAAGAAAACAGTCTAAAGTACAAAGACCCCTTGTATGCTGGGTTTTTTTTTTTTTGGTTTTAATTTCCAGAAAAAAAATCAATTTTTTTTCTATTCTTGGTGATGGGAATGAGGCATTGTACTCTACCACTGAGCTAAATCTCCAGTCATTAAAATTTCAAGAATGCTGTCTCTATCAAATTCTTAAAATCGTGTATATTTCAAATATTATTCTCATGTATTTGTGCTTATGGATGATTTACATAATTTAGGTATGATTTTTTTTCTGTAGACACAAGTGAATCTTTTCAAACAAGGGTAAAACTATTGTATATTCTAGTTAAATTAATCTATTAGAAAATTTCCTTTCGGGTCTGAATGTAAGTATGAAAGGTAAAGCATTGACGAGTAGTTTTTAATAAAGCACATAGTCTCATGGAACAGCTGGCACATGCATCTCATTCAGGAACAAGGTATAAACACATGGAAAACTTTGATCAAAAGAATATCTGAAGCTCAAAATTATCCTCTCATACATGATAAAATGCCATATGTTAAAAGTGTTTAAGGCATCACAAATTACTTACCCTAAATTGAAAGTTCTATTGTTTAACACATTACACTTTTAAAGAACATAACTTATTTCCTTATTTTGGCTTATTCACTTGCATAAACATGGCTATCTAAGTCGCTTTTTCTGTCCATGATAAGCACCTGTTTTTCATGTTTCAATGAAAAAGGGGTTCTTGATTTTTT